TCTGGAGTAAATGCGATTCCTTCAGTTTGTGTTTGTTATCTTGATTTGTCTCTTCGATTAATGAGATTTGAACATCGGTACACTACAGTAACTGTTGCCTTATTTACAAAGGAACATATATTAAATATAACGGATTTGATAAAAAATCACTTGCGTGAGAGTAAAAAAAAACAACACATAATCACGATTTGATTGTACCCAGCACATATTTTACAATGATCTTCATCATTATGGAGGGCAAAACGACACATATCGGTGAAACCCATTTTCGCTAAACAATATCTGAAAAAAAGTTGTCGATTTGTACTTTAATACCCTGCCAATACCAAAGCGTCTGCAGTAAGGCAAACCTTTGGAAATAAGGATGTTGATCATTACTATGTGCAATAATAGCACAGACGCCTTGAATGATATGCTCATAAATAATTGGTATGCCGAAATCTTTTCATCTAAATTTTGAATATTGGTCTTGAAGTGTGTATATAATACGAATAAAACAATACCGTATATCCTAGATGGCCAAAAAAGAAACACTCCCAATTCGCGTTTAATTGTTAAAAGGATTTCAATTACAAGACTTCTTCAAACTTGCTATAAGGCCTCTCATTAGGCAGACTTATCTGGTATTTTCAGTTCAATAATTTCCTATATTTCATAACTTTTCAAAATGTTAATTCTTTTATGCTCAGTCTAAGTAATAGTTCTACAAAAGTCTTTACGTAAAAAACTAATGTACAAAATAGAATGGGGTTTATCGTTTTACGCTTGCCATCTCTTCAAAGACTTTGAAGATTTCATGAACATCACAAGGTTATTTTACAAACCTTGATAATCATGTTACATTGAACAAATTCAGAAACAAAAGATTACAATATTAATAATCCCGATTAAATTTTGTATTATATTTTTTTCAGTTATACATTTTGTAATACGTTTTTATATTGCTGAAAGTTACAATGGCTGCACATATGTTGGGATTCGTGTTGCTAAGTCTTTAGTTTGTATGTCGTGTGTGATAGAGTGTTTTGTGTATTTTTCGTTATTTGTTTTTCCTATGGTGTTGTCGGTTTGTATTCGAATTATGAGTGTGAATACCCCTTTGATATCTTCTTCCTCCACTTCATGAATTGAAACATGAAAGTAAACTGTCTTTAACCTTTTTCAATGATCAACATCCTTCGTCCACTTATACGAAGTTAAACAACTTCAATGATTATACTAGTCATACACCACGTGTCAAGGTCCTCCACTTCTGAGATTAAAAGTGTCAGTCTATAAACGTTTATCAAGCAAAGACCACATTCTTCAATCAGAAACGCAGTAGTGTAAATTGTAGAAAATAACTAAGCAGTCACTTAATTTTAATTGAAAAGAACAAAATATACATTGCTAATTAAGCAAACTATTTTTTACAAAGGTGACAATCTAAAACCTTTAATTTTGTTGGTGGACAGGAATTCACCCTTCAGCACCCAACATTGCGGTTTTAGTTGAGCAGATGATTTTTTTTTTCGACAAAGAGCGATAAATGATCTTCTGGTATTCCGGATTCTTTAAAACTTTGTAAAAGTTGTATGAATTGTCTACTCAAACTACACCATCTTGAATAGTAATTCGACACCAAAGTAGTCGATCGAAAACAGAATTAAAAAAATACCAAACTCCATGGCAAAGTCAAAAACTGACAATGTCAAATGCTATCAATCAACGGACCAAGTGAAAAACAAGAATTTCTTACCAAATAAAAATCAACAAAAAATAGAGAAAACTATATTCGTAATTAAAAAGTACGTCAATCAAGCAATCAAAACATAAGTAATTTTTGTATGTACTTAATGCACTTGACAATAGAAGGTGTATGACCACTTAAACCATTGTGGTGACGCCAGCCTATTCATTTACCGTGGATTCTTTTTCTAGAATCAACGCTTCCTAAATCTGCCGCTGAAATGCACTCACTAAATTATATTCAATTGTTTCCTTTGTGTGTCTAATTTCATTAAGTTTGAATTGGCTAATTTACTGATTTCTGTTCACTAGTGGAATTAATTCAAAAACTTACCTTTAATTTTTGTAATTTGTATATGCCTTCACTGGGACTCGAACCCTTCCTTGAAATCTGTTATGAATGACTGACATCAACACATCGACGAAACCTCTCGGCTACCAATGGGTTACAACTTAGATGTCTATTTTATATATATAAATGAACATCGGACACACAGGGGTTGTACCTTTATATATACACAATGGGCAGTCGTATAGTATAAGTTGGTAGCCGCGAGGTTAGCATGCTTAAATTCAACGAGTTAAAAGATAGGGATTTGTCGGTTTAGGTTCGAATCCCTGTATTATTTCTGTTGTCCCAATTCTGTTTTTTTTCTAATTTTGCATGTTATAGTGGATATTTTTGTAATAATAGCGTGTTTTACCGTTTATTTTTTGGATTATTATTGGCTATTTCACATGTTTGAAACAAAAATGATTACATTCTATTTGTCAATTTTTGTTGTATAATGTAGTATGATTTCATCTGTTTTACTACATAGTTTTACAAATATTTGTTCGCAAATTCCTATGCTAGAAAATCGTGATGTGCTTAGAGTGTTTGAAATTTCGGTAACATACTAAAATTATATATACTTTATATATGCTCTTTGGTCGAGTTGTTGTCTCTTTGACACATTCCCCATTTCCATTCTCAATTTTATTAGAAATAAGTTCGAATATGTCTTATTTTGTAAAAACAGATAATATTCAGATGCCTGATAATATAAAGATCTTTAAAGGTAGACGTGTTATATTTGTATTTTGTTAACCAATTAATTGTGATCTGAGAATTATCAATGCATCGTTGGACACGATAACATGGCTATTTAAACTCACTTACAATACCTTCTATTAAGAAAAGGCTTTAATTTTGAAAAGAAATTAACACAATAGTTTAAGTTATAGATACAATGGATAAGCGTAGATTCATGAAAAAACAAACCATTCGCCCTCCGGGCTCATGGTTTCTTTTTCAAGAATCCACGCTTATCCATTGTATCTATATAACTTAAACTGTTTATCTGTGCTTTAAACTAATACTTGTTTTATCAAATCGTCTTGTTGTCTTGGATTAATGGTGCATTATAGTTATTAAGTATTTTAATTATTACTCAAGTCAATAACTGTTTCAGTCTGCGGACGTTCAGCACCAACTTTGGTCTTCTCAAAGGCAGGTAGGTAATGCATTAAACGAAATAATTAATAGTCACATGAGAACACCATGCTAAACCAATTGCCAAAAGAAAATCGTTATTAGAGTGGCACAATAAGGACGAAACAAATTATTAGCAAACAGAAAAGTCTTTTGAAAAACAAGAAATGTTGATTGCGAAAAACGTACACATTATACTAAATCATATGCAATGAAAACCTACATTATAACAAATGAAAGAGGAATGCTCTTTTTTGTAATTAATTTATATCCCGCGAATTTGTTGACAGGCAGTACACGTATTTTTGATTGAAAACGGAAATCAGTAAAATGTAAATTAACAAAAATACCGAACTCAAAAGAAAATTCAAAGCGGAAAGAACTTATCAAACGGCAAAAGCAAAAGCTCGAACACATCAAACGAATATAGAACAACTGTTATATTCCTGACTTGGTACAGGCATTTCCTTCTGTAGAAAATGGTGGGCTAAACCTGGTTTTATTGCTAGCTAAACCGTTCACTTGTATGACAGTCGCATAGAATTCCATCATATTGACAACAATGTGTGACATAAACATACAGACATAATAGGTAAAAATGTAAAAAAATGGTGTATAGCAGTGTCCGTTTGGCTGTGTGAGAAGTAAAAATTCTCAACTACGTCTTTTCGTTAAATCCTTTTAATACTTTTTTTTTTAATTTAACAGTTCATTTCGGTAATTTCGAAAACATCTGTAAATCCAACTTATTTCATTTATTTGTTTCAATTTAATGTTTTATACCTTACATTTTCATATCATTTTCCTTATTATTCCATTCCATTTCAAAAAAAATATATTGAAAAAGGGATCTTCTTTAAAAAAAAAAGGGATCTTCTTAAGGTGCAAAATAATTTTTACCTTAAAACTAACTTTCCCACAATCACTAAAACAAATCTTTTTAATTTTCATGTTGGCATTCGATGAATAGATGTTTCGTGAAATGTAGGCATTCCAGGATTACACCCAGCATAGAACATAACGATATAATCTTAATCACTATAATACAAACAACTATGTCAACAAAGAAAAAAAACATTTAAGTAGTCAAGGCGAACATTTTCTATGTTGTGTCATCTGTACTATTATTTGTCTGTTTGTCTTATTATTTTTGGCCATGGCGTTGTCAGTTTGTTTTCGATCTATGAGTTTGACTGTCCCTCTGGTATCTTTCGTCCCTCTTTTGTAACATTTATTCACATTTGTAGTAATGAATGTAAAATGAATGTCATTTAAATTCACAATATGTCACCATAATAGTGTTAACTGTCTGTATGTTACGATGTTTATGTTGATTTAGTCATAAATGTTTTCGAAAAACAGTTTGTCTATTTGATGATGGTATCGACCGTCGAGTTGCGGAGACACATAGGGATTAAGTTACCCTTTAATGATCCTTAAAAATACCGTACCATACAAACTCGCACGTTTTGCTACTGTTAATGACATTGTGCTCCTGTTATAATATTTTTGCACTAAGTGATTCTTGGGATTTCTCATTCCAAAACAATTACTTCGCTATTTCTACTTAATATATCAAATCATTAATCAACTTCTGAAAACGGCTTGATGGTATTGCATCATACTTACACAAATTCCTTTTCAGGACATGAAGTTGCTATTTTTATTTGTTTATCTGAGTGCGTGTTAGGGTTTTCTTATCCCAAACATTGACTTCGCCATGTCTGCCTGTATTAATCTTAAACAACAGGCGACACATATCTTCCTGGGAAAACTCACACTTTTGTTTTAATTTCAGCTTACCCTGCTACCAATGTTCACAAAACAAGCAAGTTTCATGAAAGTTCTTTACATGACATTGAAAACCAGATCATACCATGCAACTGGACAAAAACAGGAAAGATCAAACCTACTGTAAGTTTTTTATGTTGTATAATACAAGCATTTGTAGTATGACTGCTAAATATCACAATATTTGATTTTTAATCATTTAAAAGAGGCTTTGAATAATGGTGCTGCCATTACGTACAATATGTCGACTTTCGATTTATTGGTCGAGGAATTTACACGACATCGAACGAGAAATATGACATATTTTGAAAAGTGTTCATTGTTTTGTTTTTAGTTTTGATACGATTCTTAGATTTTGGTTGGATGTTGTGTTCTCGTTACCAATGACCTTTTTGATTGAACAAACAAACTGATCAAATAAACTTTCCACTACCGTATATCGGGTTTTTTTTCCCGTCGGCTTTTTTTCGCGATTTGATGGCAAAATGGGCAAGTTAAATTTTCACGGTGTATTATGTTCGCTGATTTGGAAAATACCCGCGAATAAATCACCGTAGTGTACTAAGATGTAAACAACATAAACTTGATTGACTGACAGAGAATCGACAACAAATAAATATGAGTTCTACAAACTAAAATACACATTACTTGAAGATCATTCAAGCAGAATGAATTATTTAAAATGCGGCATGCTTAAAATTTAAGCCTTTGATAATTTTGGTGATGGTATTGCAAAGCATTTTCACAGCAAATTTATGCGAAAGATCCGTGCAAAAGGGATTTTTTTTGTATTGTTTTATCTTATTTTTGTATAGATTCAGACAGATTTAGGTATATCACCAAGCCAGAATCATAGTTTCAGTTTAATGGAGACCTTACAAAGCCGGTATATTACAAAGGGAGGATACTTCCAGCACATCTTCGTGTTTTCTGAGATCCAGTCGGTGTCAAGCTCCATATGTTTTGGTGTGCTAAATATCAGGTACATATATAAGCAGTCCTACAGTAGACATCCATTTTGTTCAATTGAAATATCCTACGCTTCTTTCGTAAACTTTTCTAATCTGTATTCAAATTTAGTAAATGTTAAAATATTTGGACATTTCCTGACTTATAGTCTTTGCTTTGATTAACATATTTAAAACCGTGACACCAATATATTTTAAAGGGTAAAATATAAGTGTAACTTTATCATAAAATTGAGAATGGAAATGGGGAATGTGTCAAAGAGACAACAACCCGACCATAGAGCAGACAACAGCCGAAGGCCACCAATGGGTCTTCAATACAGCGAGAAACTCCCGCACCCGAAGGCGTCCTTCAGCTGGCCCCTAAACAAATATGTATACTAGTTCAGTGATAATGGACGTCATACTAAACTCCAAATTATACACAGGAAACTAAAATTAAAAATGAAACAAGACTAACAAAGGCCAGAGGCTCCTGACTTGGGACAGGCGCAAAAATGCGGCGGGGTTAAACATGTTTTTTGAGATCTCATCCCTCCCCCTATACCTCTAGCCAATGTAGAAAAAACAAACGCACAACATTACGTACAGTAAAACTCAGTATAAGAGAAGTCCGAGTCCGATGTCAGAATAGGAAACAAAAGAAAATAAACAAAATGACAATAATACATAAATAACAACAGACTACTAGCAGTTACTGACATGCCAGCTCCAGACCTCAATTAAACTGATTAAAAGATTATGTCTTCATCATATGAATATCAGGCACAATCCCTCCTGTTAGGGGTTTAGTACTATACCGTCATAAAATATATGAGAACATTACCCCTGTCATGCCAACAACTGGTTTTAGAATAAATGTGTTTAATTCCGATGCAAAGACCCTATAAGTGAATTAATATTAAAGCCACAATATGCAATCTTTAATAACCTGTCAACAGTATCGTAACTATATCCCTTCTTAATAAGTCTGTTTAAAGGTTTTGTTAGCTTTTGAGGTGAATACTGACATTTTTGTGCTTTGTAAAGAATATTACCATAAAAGATTGGATGTGAAATACCCGAACGTATAAGATATCTGCATGTTGAGTTATATTTACGAATGATGTCCTTATACCGATGATAAAATTTAGTAAATGTTTTGACTAGTTTATGATATCGAAAAATAATTTTTCAGTAATACATAAATTTCTCTCGCTAAAATCTAATACGTTGTTACATACACGAGCGAATCTTACAAGTTGAGATATATAAACACCATAAGATGTTGACAAGGGAACGTCACCATCTAAAAATGGAACATTTACGATAAGAAATGAAAAATCATCTCTTTTATCATAAATTTTTGTATTAAGCTTCCCGTTAATGATATAGATATCAAGATCGAGGAAAGGACAGTGGTCATTGTTAGTATTAACTTTATTTAAAGTAAGTTCAACAGGATAAATTTCTTTAGTATACATACTGAAGTCGTCATTATTGAGAGCCAATATATCATATCTATTTATGTTTGATGCTTCCTTAATATTATTATCTATTGATAGTATTATAGAAGAAATAGTTATTACACCTTTTTAGAAAACATTTTGCTAGTTTATATGAAAATTTTGTAGGAATGAAGACCAGCTTCTAAGCATCAATGACGAGGATGTAACACTGATGACGCATAATGAAGTTACAGTTCTTTTAAACAGTCAACCTATCAATATAAATCAAAACATAACAATGGTATCCGTATTTTATTAAGTAAATGCATGATTTAGGGATATAACAAACATATGTTTATTGTTTATTACACAGACTGATCCATGCTTGTTAAATGGCCAGGGACAAATATTTCAAACAAGAGCAACATGATGGGTGCCACATGTTGAGTAGGATTTGCTTATCCTTCTGGAGCACATGAAATCACCCCCGGTTTTTTGTGGAGTTCATGTTGCTCAGTCTTTATTCTTCTATGTTGTGTTTTGTGTACCGTTGTTTTTCTTTTTCTTTTTTTTTTGCTATGGCATAGTCAATTGTTTTTGTTTTATGAGTTTTATCATCCCTTTGGTATCTTTTGCCTCTTTTTTGCAATCAATAAAGATATGTTAAGCCTATATGCAGACTTTTCATTTACTTGTACAACAGCAGATTGAAATACACGAAAAGCCACTAAACAGCACTAGATTTAATACAAGCCAAATGTTTTAACAGTACTGATTTTAACACAAGAACATAATTATCTGGAAAACAACATAAACTCCTAACAAGACGTAACGGGTATATGTTCTGACCTTCCAGATAAATTAAAGATCAAACTAAGCGTGAAGACCCAGATACATTAACTAGTGTATAATAAGTACGTTCCGCAATCATCTAGGTTGACCAGGATGAAAGGTTGGATATTTTGACTGCCACTTGAAAATGTGGGCGAGATTGATAGGGGCAGAAATTCTACCCAGCAACAGACTACTTATTACGGACCACTAAAACGAGTAAAAGAGTGTCTGCATGTGTTCTTTAACTTGCTATGTGCGTTGAATTTCCCTACATTAGGCGTCGGTTTTAATGTCGCCATTCCAAACGGACATTGCTGTGAATTTATACATCCCTCTCCATTTTAGCAAGGGTTTTACTGCCAGACGGGATGCCCATATTTCGATACCCCATTCAACCATTTGCATTAGTGGATGGGTCATTTGTCATACTGCTTTTTTGAGTTATCGATTCATTATAATGATTTCACAAAATGTGACACGAATTAGCCAAAATCATCAATAATGGTCCCATTTAGAAAGTCTGTTGTATTATAATTCGACCTTTAAAATTGGACGCTATTGTCCGATCGATATTTGTGAGGACTAAAGGACTGCACAACGTAAATAACGAAAACAGGATTAGATAACTGAATTTGTTTAAAAATTATAAAGAACCAACTGTGCGATAAGAGCAATGCCATTTTATTTGTGGGATAATACTTACGCTAAATGTAAAAATCAAAGGAAATAGACCGGTGTTAGGGGAAGGTGTTTTTGGCGTATACTGCCAGAGAACAACCTAAGTAAAAACAAAACGAACTCCAAACAAAACAGAAAAAATCTGTTGTTACTAAAGTATTCTTCCAAAGCACCATCAATGTTCATATCGTTTGAAGTTCGTTATGAAAAAATACTTAATGGTCTGCCTTAGACATTTTGATTAAAACACATGTATAACCTCACATAATGGGACGTTGTACCTGCCATGAGCAAGACTACTGATGCTATAAGGTGAGAAGAAAACGGCTTACCCTTTTGAAAAAAACTGATTTCCCACATATGTTTAAGAAAGATTACCCTATTTTGTTTTCTTTGTACTGGTTTATAGAATGTTGTATATCTGTTTAAGATGTTCGCTACTCATGTTTTTTACTTTTTGTAAGATATTCGGAATCCTCTAGTTTTATCCAATTATGGTTTTTAAATGTCTCTTTGGTATACTGTAATTTCAACATCTTGAATTATGTTTCATTTAATGTACTGAAGAGACAAATATATTTGTTCTTTCAGAATTATTTGAGACCAAGCACAGAAAATATCACGGAAAATTTTTTTACTTTACATCAACCATTAGGTATGTGCATAATAATTAATTAAAAAAACTATCGTACTGTTAAACCAGATAATCCCTGAATACTCTAAACGGCAAAACACACGCTTGCGATACTTTATTTGGACTTCTATGACTACTTGTCATTATCACTGTGTAGCATCAACACTAGTTATAGATACTCCCGAAGCAAAGAAACAATGAAAGCAAAAAGTACCTATTCTAATCCCCAGTACAGTAAACAACAATTTGCCCTATTCGCCGTACAGGTTTTCCGCTTTATTAACATGAATTTCTCTGTGCAAAAAAAAATAGTTTATTTCGAAATACAGTGTTGTTTCAGCATAACTGTGATATACCTTTGTTCTACGAAAACGTCAAATGATTAGTTCAAGGATAAATGTGTTTTATTAAGTTTGATCTCGTCAACTTCGTTGAACAGGTATAACCCTATCCAATTCAGACGATTTGAAGAGAGAGACAGCCAATTAAGAATCATAATCAGCCCTAAATAGTAGCTACATTATTAGGAATCACTATCACAAAACTTTAATTGTCAGCAAAACGTAGAATATAATGAAAATAAGAAGAATTTGACCATACCTGACTTCACATATGTTTTTACACTGCTTCGGAGGAACCTATATCCGGTGGTGATGATAACAGTGATTATGTTATCTCTTAACTTCTTTTCGCCTTCGATACAGAAATGTCCACCAATTTTTCATCATTGAAACAGCTATATATTTGTCTAGGAATTAAAGCTACGGATGTTGCTTATTTTCTGAAATAAACAATAAAATCCTTATTTGACAACAGAAATGCAAAGCGGTTAGCGGCTGTACATTTTTTTTGACTGGTAAATACAGAAAATTATGTCAACAATGGAAGGATTCGAGTTAACCTTTTTGTTAAAGCAATTAATAAAATTTATGTTAGAATAAATTTATTAAGATAAAAGTATTTACAAAAATAATGAACGCCAAGGTTTATTAAAAAAGGAGGAAGTCCATAAAACAAAACCAAGCGCTCAACTACATAAATCAACGGAATTAATATAAAATGAATTTCATATACTTAACTTAGTACAGACATTTTTCAAGGAAAATGGTGGATTAAAACTGGTTGTACATCTAGCTTAACCTCCACTTGTAAACGTATTACTAGTATACCGGTGTTAAATACGTAAATATTTCATGTCCATGTAACAACCAGACGTTAATTTGAGTGATAATAATAGAAAACACTTGATATCAAAGCGGAGAAAAACTAACATTGTCGACAAGGTAAGCATTTCTGGCTATAAGGATGTTGAACATATTCAACGTTTTTTTTTTTATTACGCAACATATTACGATAACAGACTAAACTATCCTTTTATTTGGCTCTGTTCATTCTTGGCGACATTGGAAATAAAACATATGATAAATTTTATTCAATAGGTTCATCAGTAGCAGCAAAACTTAATCATGAGACGTCTACACCATCACGTCACTGGAAAGCACAGCGTAAGGTTACCCTTATGAAGAGGGGCACAAATAAATTCCTGCAACGACTAAAAAACGATCACGTCGGTTTTGAAGAACTCATCTCGTCAAAGTTAGGAATAAACGTTGGAGGTTTTCATCAATGTAAGTACTTATAAGTATAATTGAGTCTAATTTGTTTTCTTTTGATTATTTCTGTATAAGGTTTATAAAGGCTTCAATCATTTGTAGTTGGTAAGATGCTTGATTTGAATTCTAATGTGTAGAAGAAAAATCTCATCATTAGAAGTATGCCATACACTAAGACTGGAAGTAATATTGCAATCACATTGTTCGTCCATCCGACCATTCGTCCAATGAATATGTTCGTCACACTTTTATCGGAAATTGCTTAGAGAAATCATTTAATATTTAGTTAGCAGTTGTTACGTGTTATTGCTTTTCGTATCGGCCAGACACCTACCTTTTCGTTATGTGGAATGACTTTAATATCAACGTTACACGTTTCTCTAGTACAACTATGCAGAATGAATTCTTATCTGTTGTTAATCTTGCATCGATTTTTTTAAATCCGTCGTGGCAGTGATGACTTCTAACGTATGAGTGCTTCTCGGGTCTGTCGAACACATTCTTGCCTTTTTTGGTACAGTATCTGTGATACGTTTAACACGACAATACACCTTATCGCTATTTGTCCGTCATTACTGAACATCAAATAGGTTCCCGTAAAATTTTGACGTCACAATAGAAAATGTCTGACGCAACAAAGGGAAAGTGATCGTTGTATGACGTCAATAGTTCAAGTGTCGCAAATTTTCGGGTCAAGTGTCGCAAATTCCCAAATAGCGATAAGGTCTATGCGTGTAACGTCTTGTGTTGTTGGAAAATAACAACCCGATCACCGTTTTAAACCATAGTATACAGAAACTTATCTCTTGACAATCATAAACAGTATTTACCAATACTAAGCTACTGAGTGACAATGAAAACGCAACACTTGTAAATTTCAAATATTTTTTTTAAAATGATTACCTATATCGGTTTGAAAATGAACTGTCAGACTTCTTTCGACAACTTTACGGTTGAATGATTTTAGAAAAAAGTTACGTGCTTGGTTACAGAAAAGGGGGGAGAGTCGAGTGCACCGCTATTTTACGCACGAGTGATTTTCTCATGTTTGTTTTGGAAAGCTTTGCTTAAGAATTGAAATTTCCCATCCTTTTTTGTAAGCCACTGCAATAAACTAAGGCGTAGATGCCAAGACTTTCAGACTACCAGAGACATTAAGTTTGGGGTATGGTGCAAGGAGGCATTTCAAGACGTGAAATTGCACGCAGAATGCAGTTTTCGGCCTCAACAATTACCAGACTCATCCAAAGATTCAACCAAACTGGGTCTTTGAATGATAGACCACGTCCCGGAAGACAGAGAGCAACTACTGCCCGAAAGGACCAATACATTCGTCTTCAGCACCTGCGAGATCGTTTCCTTACGGCTGTCCAATCAGCACGAGAAACTGTCAGCGTCCATAGGAGACAAATTGGAGCAAACAGGGTAAGACGCCGGTTGCGCAGCAGTAGATTAAGGGCACGGTGGCCGTTCCGTGGTAACATGCTGACAGCAGTACGACGCCAAAATCGCCTTAGATGGACACAACAGCGTCAGAGATGGTCACACAGGCAATGGACAACTGTCTTATGGACGGACGAATCAAGATTCCATCTTCGCCGTAGTGATGGACGAATTCATGTGTGGAGACGGAGAGGAGAACGCTATGCAGATTCATGTATCCAAGAGACAGATTGTTGGGGTGGTGGTAGTGTCATGGTATGGGGAGGAATATCGTTCAACCATAAAACTCCATTCATCACTATCAGTGGCAATTTAAACGCCCAACGCTACATTGGTGAAGTTTTACGGCCGACCGTTATACCGTTTATGGCTAAGCATCAAGATGTTAATCTTTTACAACAAGATAACGCTCGTGCACACTCCGCACGACTCACAACTGCGTTCATCAATAACAACCATGTTCAGACATTACCATGGCCACCCTTTTCGCCGGATTTGAGTCCAATTGAACACTTACGGGATCAAATTGGACAAGCCGTAAGACGACGACAGCCACCACCAGTTACGCTGCGCCAATTTGCAATTGCATTGCGGGAAGAATGGACAAACATTCCACAACACCGTATATGACGTCTGGTCGTTGTTGCCACGTCGTTGTAGAGATTGCGTTGCAGCACGCGGTGGACACATTCGTTATTGAGACTGTGAGTTAGAGAATTGTAGCGTTGTGTTGCATGAACGCATTGCATTCGAATCGTGGTAATTGAACATTTTTGTTTGACTTTTATCTTTAGATAAACCCATTAACTGACATAAACAATTACTGTAAAGAAAATATTATTTTGTATCAAAATGTTATTTTTAAAAAACAAAGTGTTGCGTTTTCATTAGCAATCAGTATATATTGTCAATAACTTATCTTGAAATAACGCTAAGATTGATCTTTTCAGAAATGTTAACTTACGCATATGTCTTTTGTTCTCTATTGGTTAAATGTCTCATTAAAAAATATACCAAATATCCTTACTTTTATAGTGCATTTTTGGATGTCTAGAAGAGTCTTTGTCTCTCAAGAGGGGAAATGCATTAAAAAGATGGATCTGGTACTCATTTTCATCCTGGAAACAGTGCTTATTGTGATAATGATTTAACAAAATGCAATCCTTTCCTTATTCTAGATTTTTCCTGGCGTTTTCATGACGATTTATGTGGAAGTGATCACTTTCCAATTTTACTTAAACATTTTTTTCTCCTGTTCAGCAGAGAGTCCCCCAATTTTCGTTACCACAATCCCGTTATCTTTGCGTCGAATGTGACATCACGAATTAGACTTATCATCGAGTTTGAACTTACATAAGCAACCCGACGGTAGCCACATGAGGAGTAGAATCTGCTTACTGTTCCGGAGCAACTGCTATAACCCCTGATTTTTTGGTTTGGGTTCGCGTTTCGGTAATTAGTTTTTTATGTTTTGTATACTGCTGTTGGTTTTTTGATCGTTTTTCGTTTTTTGACATAGTTTTGTTAGTTTGTCATCGACTAATGAGTTTGAATATCCTCTGGTATCTTTTGTCTCTCTTTTAACCGGAACAACATAACTTATATGGATGAAAGTTAAATTCTGGAATTTGTACATTTAAGTTGTTGGAAAATATATTAAAATTCCCCTTATTTTAATTGATTTACATTGAGTAGTAATTATATGTAGGCACTCTTCTTTGTCATATTAATTTTGATGTCCAATGTTGAATTTAATGTGCCCGATACAAGTCATTCAAATTGTAATATTGTGTACTTTGTTATTCTGAATATGACTATGAATGGGAGCTTAAAAAATTGATCACTGCAACAGTAGAAATTCATGACTGAAATCTCAACTTCTGTTGTTAAGGATAAATCTCTGTTTCATCCTTTTGTATATTGGTATTCTTTCAAACTTGTCTAAACTTGCCGACCCGGGTACATTGAATATTAGTATCCTGTCAAAGAAATCTTTTCTACACGTTATTATAATTGGACTTTCTTTTTTTCGCCTTGGAAACACAGCTATTTTTTAATTTATACAGAACATGGTCTTCACGTCATTGACGTCACAATTGAAATCAAATTGTGTTGGTGGTGCTTACTAGAAAATTAAATAAAATAATTCTAAAAGTTAGTCTACATGTGTCTGTTAGTTTTTTTTTTTATCGAGAAGAGGTTGATTTTCATAAAGCTTTTGGCTTCATCCAATCGGAATGGATGCCTTTCGAACGCGTATTATTGGTCCGCTTCGAAATATAAAAGTTCTAAATTTTCCTTTTTGAATCGAAATATTTATATCATGCCATGCTCTATGCTCATTTTAACATAGGTAGACATTTTATCTGTCAACCTTTGACCACTCGATTACGCTCGGTATAAAGATATTATCAAATATAATGCCTTCTGATGCTAAAATAGGCATTAAGCATGGCATGAAAGAATTATTTTTCAAATAATTTAGTTTTTTGAACTTTACTTACTCTTACAGGTTCAATTTTTTAACGCTAGACTCATATTCAAGATATATTGGGTTTGATCTGTGGACGAATGGACAGAAGACATTGAAAATGGGTTTTTGTACTTTTTCCTTTAGAATTAAACGTTTCGTAATATAACTCGTTATTTGAATTAGAAAACATGTCGTAATTTGCATACATTTTTGAAGGGTTATCCTCTTTCAAATTATTACCAGCGCGAAAATCAAATAAAGTGCATTGTGTATACAAATCACATGTATGCGTTGTCATCCTGAACATAATCGTGGCAGGGCGTTAAGCTTCTGTCAATCAGATTTTACATAGATAAATAATATTGTATAATAAAAAAGAAAAATGAGGATGTTAAATTTGATGTATGCCTTTTTGTACTTCTTTGTTATATTTGTGTGTTTTTATAGTGATTAAGATGATTACACAATGTTGACTGCTGTACCCCTATTTTTGACATTTTTACCTATTGTGTCTGTTTGTTTTGTTCACGCATCGTTGTCATTATAATGGAATTTGATGCGACTGTCATACAAGTGAGAGGTTTAGCTAGCTATAAAACCAGGTTCAATCCACCATTTTCTACATAAGAAAATGCCTGTACCAAGTCAGGAATATGACAGTTATTATCCATTCGTTTGATGTGTTTGAGCTTTTGATTTTGCCATTTGATTAGGGACTTTCCTTTTTGAATTTTCCTCGGAGTTCAGTGTTTTTGTGATTTTACTTTCCCATCAATGCTTACATGATCAGAGTTCTGAATTGGTATTTTAATTTGTTTGGTTCGAGCATCACTGATGAGTCTTTTTGTAGACGAGACGCGCGTTTGGCTTACAAAGTTATAAGGCTGGTATCTTTAATGAGGTTTTTTTACAGGAGTAAACTGTTTCAGTGTGTATCTCTTATTATACCCCACGCAACGAGTTGCGGAGGGTATAATGTTTTTGACCCGTCCGTCTGTCCGTCTGTCCGTCCGTCCGTCTGTCCGTCTGTCCGTCCGTCAGTCCGTCAGTCCGTCAGTCACATTTCTTGTCATCGCAACTCCTCTCAATCCACACAACAGAATTTCACGAAACCTTTTTAGATAATAAGGACATACTATGTAGTTGTGCATATCGACAGGAAATTACGATTCAGTTTTTTTTTCTAGGAGATACGCCCCTTTGCACTTATTTACTTTAATGTACTACTGCAACAGTTTGTCATCGCAACTCCTCTCAAACCACACAACAGAATTTCATGAAACCTTTTCAGATAATAAGGACATACTACGTAGATGTGCATATCGACAGGAAATTACGATTCAATTTTTTTTCCAGGAGTGACGCCCCTTTGAACTTATTTGCCAAATATACTACTGCAACCTTTTGTCATCGCAACTCCTCTCAAACCACACAACAGAATTTCATGAAACCTTTTCAGATAATAAGGACATACTACGTAGATGTGCATATCGACAGGAAATTACGATTCCATTTTTTTTCCAGGAGTTACGTCCCTTTGAACTTATTTGCCCAATATACTACTGCAACCTTTTGTCATCGCAACTCCTCTCAAACCACACAACAGAATTTCATGAAACCTTTTCAGATAATAAAGACATACTACGTAGATGTGCATATCGACAGGAAATTAAGTTTCAATTTTTTTTTCCAGGAGTTACGCCCGTTTGAACTTATTTGCTTTAATGTACTACTGCAACAGTTTGTCATCGCAACTCCTCTGAAACCACACAACAGAATTTCATGAAACCTTTTTAGATAATAAGGACATACTATGTAGTTGTGCATATCGACAGGAAATAACGATTCATTTTTTTTTCTTAGTGTTATCCCCTTTGAACTTATTTGCTTCAATGTACTTTTGCAACAGTTTGTCATCACAACTCCTCTGAAACCACACAACAGAATTTCATGAAACTTATAGATAATAAGGACATACTATGTAAATTTGCATATTGACAGGAAATATGATTCAATTTTTTTTCTTATACATTTTTTTTTTCTTACACTTATTTTATTTCTCCAATGACAATGTGGGGACGTGGGGTATGTGAGCGCGCTCACTAAGGTTCTTTAATTTCTATAATTTTTGCAAACCCTTTTAAAATCTTAAATCTTCTTGCAGGTCATTTCATTGAAGAAAGAGAGCTGAATTCAGACAATACGGGGTTCATAAGGTGGTATCTTGACGAACAGCGTAAACAATATCTGTATGTAACAAAGGACGGTAATATAACACTGGTACGGCGTTAATGTGAATATTTATATTTTGTTTGAAAAAAACCGTCTGCATTAATATTTCATTTACTGTCGAATAATACCCTCTAAAGTTAGATACATATATGAAGGAAGTTTTTTTTTACAATATAATTTAAATAAAATGCCATTTATTAATAAGATAATGAAATGAAATGTTGTCTATGAATGCACTGATGCATACTAAACAATGATACATGTGGTACAAAATGTATAAAATCGCAAACAAATGTAGCGATATATATACCAAACAAATCTGCAAACATAATCTAACTTCAAATCTATATGATATATTTTTTTGGAAAAATCAAATGTAAAAATATGAATTCCAAGAAAATATATCGATTTACAAAAGCATGAAGTGGCACGATAAAGCCGCCACCTTTCACTGAAGAAAAAAAAGAATTTCCAATATATAGCATCCTAAAGATGCTTATAAGACATAGTGTTTAGCATATCAATACCGATATATATTCTAATTTATCTTACATATTTGCATTTGAGATTTACGCTTCTTGCATTGAATGCAAAACTGAAAAAAAACTGCCGATATCTTGAAGGTCAATAGTATTTAGATATGAACCAAGGACTAACCCAATGCATTGATGTGGCCATCCTAAATGAATTGATTATTAGCAGTTAATTTGTTCATGTTTTTAATGTTTACAGCAAGCCAATACAAGTACTGCTTTTAAAATAAAGAGTTCCAGTCATGGAGCGTTTGTCATACTAGAAGAGGTGGATACATCAAAATTACTCAGTCTTCACGATATTACTGCACAATTTATCAAGTTCAAAAGTAACCCTGTTGACAAGGACAGCATTGATCACATTCCAGAAAAATTTCGATTCGATCTTGATAAGATACGATGTTAAAAATGATAAAATATTGGATAGGTGACCATAATTTGTCAAATCTTGATGAATGACAGAAGACTGTTTTTTGTTATATTGTGGTCATATATGAGAAATAAATCTAGACGGACAACTCACTAATCTTTTATAAAAGAAAACGAATGGTTCGCCATTAATATTTTGAAATCCGTGCGTTATCACCAAAATCGTCAGGCAGCTGTGCAGAACGTAATGAAGCTGCCAAAGAAATGTAAGGACTATGATTAGGATATCGGTATTTACCATGCAAAATTTAGAATATAGCTCACCGATTTCTCGTTACGACTGCTCGCATCACATACACATTTGTTTTCAACTGTTCCTGGACCATTAGCTGATACACCGTGGTTTTCCAGTATTTATGTCAGTGACTTAAGGGCATACGATGAAGTTACAGGGGAGATAACGACGTTGCTTATGTAAAATGTTATTTTTCACGACGTTGAACTGTGAAATATCGGGAAAAGATGCATTTTTCGACTGATTTTAAGCATTAGCTCGAAAACGAGTACATCAACCCCTCTCTTTAAAAATGACATTTTGATTGATTATGTATGAAGATTAGTTGTACCAATCTTTATGAAAAAATCGCCGATGATTTTTTTTTTAAATTAGATAAATATACAGCAAAATATCCCGTTTTTTTTAAATCATAAACATTTAATAAAAATGAATTATTTCAAAAGAGTTGATACACAAAATTAAAACATACTTTTGTAAAGATTATATTTCAAATCCTTTTACAAAAAACCGCTTGTGTTTATCTTTTTAAACAAAACAGTTAGGTATGTCCGTCCAAAGGATATATATGTCCAAGAAACTGAAATTTTGAGTAAATGTCAAAAACTTCGATCCCATTTATCTCTAAAGTAGCACATGAAAGTATATTTTTTATTACATATTTGAATTGCCAATGTGAAAAATAGTTGGTATACAAATTTTCGACAAAAATTCACCGTGGGATCGAAACTGTATAGTATGCCCTTAAGACATCAGCTTTGTGGTTGTATATTAATCAGTTTCCTTTACGTCGATCTTGTAGATCAGATGTTTTAGAACCTTTTGAACAAGACATAACACTTATTATCTTTGTTTTCATATTCATTTGAATGAGTCTTTAGATTGTATTATAATGAATATGCTATCGTCTCTGAACTTATGAGAATACTTTTCAAACTATTTTGTAGTTTCATTTAATAAAATAAAAATATTTTGTATCTAAACCTAACCAGCAGAAGTGTACTAAGGAAATAAAAAGGCTTTATAAATATATGCCTGTTTTTACTTACGTGTTTTGAATACATGGTACGTTGATACTGTGTACATAAACACTGTTCCAACGTTTTTCAACGTTTTTACGACAAATTATGACATTATTAAGAAATTAAAGTTTTAATTCCAACAGGCAAAGTTCACCGAAAATGAATTTAGCTACTTTATAGGTTCCATTTTGGTTATATTTTTATGTATGTTTGGTCTTTCACGTCCATGGCTTTAAACGTTTGTGTTTGAGAGTTACTAAAAAGATAAACCCAGAAAAGTTCTTCGGACACAAGAAATTAATCAAGTGTTCTTTTTATTCGCTTCAATTCAATTGATGCCCTCTATGTATTTGGTCTTGAATTTTGAACTTTTTTGAACATGTTTAATTTACTTCCTACAGGTTCGACTTCACTTCCGTTGTTTTTATCTATATTGGCCTTTTCTGCCTATTCTGATCACCTTTTAATATGGGATAAGCGTTGTCTGCTTCCCTTCTTTAATTGGTTGCTGTATCAAAGGCGAAGTATACTCATCTCATTTTATTCGATATTATATGACCCCAGTACGGTTGACCTTATTTTAATGTATTTCCCTATCTTACTCCTATCATTGTATCTGGATTTGATATTTTTTTTTATTTAAGACATTGTAATACCTGTTTATACTGTAGCATCAGAATCATTTTATACGATGATTTTATAATACACAGTCAATAAATTATCTCATCCTAACTTCTGTTGTTTGACCCTTTTCACAGGGAAGATGAATAATCTTTCATTTAAGAATAAAATGGTTACCACTTTTTATTACCTGTGTTTTTCTGGCATAACAATGTTTGTACACACACGCAAGTTAACAAAAACAAAATATGGGAGATTGCGTTTTCCGCAAACCTTGATTTTTTAACATTCCTATTTTGTAAAACATGCAGAAACGTTAGTATGTATTAACAAAAATCATAAACGTTTTGCTTATCGTCACAAATTTATTTGATTTCAATAATTTATGTTGAAATGTGTCTTGGTGTTATTCGATACTTAAATGGTCGCGGTTGTGTGTTACTTTATAAATAACTAAATCAGTGTTTGTGCAAATTTAAATAATCTTCTAATGTCAGCAGCAATGTCACATACTAGATATTTGAATAAGGCTATTCAATGAATTAAGGTTTTAAACTGATTTCAAATGTACGTGCCTTAGGGAAAATATCAATTGTAATTAGTCTGTAATTCTGTAGTTGTCGTTGTTTGTTGTCTGTCATATTTGTCTTACATTTATTGTTTTGTTATAAACCAAGCTGGTGCTTTTTTATTTCAATTAGTTCACATTTTGTCATGTTAGGCCTTTAAAAGCTTTAACTACTGTATGGCTTCGCTCATTGCCGAAGGAAGTACGGTGACCTAAAGTTGCATTAATCCGCATCATTTGGACTTTATTGGACTGTTGTCTTATTTTTGATTATACCAATTCTGCTTATTTATATAAAAAGTATAGCAAAAATACAGAACTTCAAGGCAAATTCAAGAATTCAAACAAAAAAAACGGACAAAATCAAACGCTATTAATCAACGAAACAAGTGAAAAAACAAATGCCATATACCTGACTTGGTATAGACATTTTCCGAAGAAAATAATGGATTTTACCTGGTTTTATAACTAGCTAAACCTATGGAACGCTATAACTGCCTAGTGATAACGATAATCATATTATTAAGGGTTCAGATATAGCATGAAGCAAGTTTTCTATACTAGTACGACATTTGACTAGTATATACTACTATGTCAATTTGCTACATCACTAAGATAAATTTATATACTATAAAGACGTTTTGATATAACATGGAGTTACCTTTTGATACTATTCTGTCATTTCACTTTGTCATGAAGATATTCTTTTATATTAGCCGCCAGGCTCCTCGTCCAATTTTTTTTTAACCAATCCAAATTCCGCAAAGTGTTTGTATGATTTATAGTTGTGAGGCTCCTGGTATGAATACCACGAATTTCGTCGTACTAACATTCATTAACTGCGACGCTTGTTCACCAATTTAAAAGATAATTGACTAAGTTCAAAATGAATAAAATTTACTTTATTTCTTTTTAAGTTATTGTAGGCTATTGATTTCCAGAAGGAATAAAGAAATATGTATTCTCAATTATTTAAAAAAAAGTGTGAGCAAGACTCTGTGTTACTTTACAAAAAAATCTTCATAAACAATATTAGGGAAATGACATTTACATTTACATGTAGTTACGTAACAATTTCGTGTCTGAATTTGTTATTTTTCCCCAAATCTGTGCAGCCAAGCAAAACTAAATGTAGAGCACGGAAACCAATTTCGGGTTTTCGGACGAACGGATGGATAGGGGTAACACGTAATGCCCCCCTTCGCCTAGCGAAATAATATTTTCTCTAAACAAAGTTGGGCGGTTGAAGATGTATAGGCGGCGAGATAACTATCAAACCACATTCAATAGAGGCCTTTGTGCTGTTGAATTTGTAAACGGTATCTGGGAATTAAAATTAAGCAAGACATTCTTAAGATACAGTGTGACTTCGGAAAAAAATGCCTCCCCCTTTTTAAATGAATAAAGTCAATAACTCTGGAAAGAAAAATCCCAATTTCACAAAAAATTATACAGACCATAAGACTATCATAAAAAATAACAGTGTAAAGTTTGAAGTTAAACAAGCAAGGTATACTCAAGATACAGCTCGACGGAACCCCACCCCCACACTTTTTAATGAATAAAGTCCATTAAACGAAAACGAAAGGTTAAAAAACCCCCAAAAAGTATACAGACCTTGAGACCAACACCACAAAGAACTAAGTACAGTTTGATGTTAATCGGAAAAGGCATTCCCAAGATAATGTGCGACATGTAAAAAAAAATTGCCTCCCTCCTTTTTTGAATGAATAAAGTCCATAACTCTGGAAGGAAAAAAAACCAAAATTTCACCAAAAAGTATACAAACTGTTAGATATTATAACAAACAACTGTGTAAAGTTTGAAGTTAAACAAGCAAAGCATTCTCAAGATACGATGCGACATGTTTATGACGGACAGACGAATGGACGTACATTTGTATACCATAATACGTCCCGTCAAAATTTAAGGGGCGTATAAAAAAAGGAATAAATGTTGTTATGGGAAACAGGTAACTTTTGTCTATCTTGAGAAAACATTCCTACCAATTAATAAATGGCGGTACATGAATAAACTTTACCCATTTGACAGTTCATAACAAAATATCTAAACATCAAAGCGTAAAAACAAGATCTTGAACTAGCAAGAAAATCCACACTGAATGCAATGCATTAAACACAAGTCAACAATTTAAACAGGCAGAAGCTGAAAAACGAGACCTTGTTGTTTTCTGAGCTGCACGGATTTGGGGAAAAATAACAAATTCAGTAACGAAATTGTTACTACATGTAAATGTAAATGTCATTTCCCTAATAGTGTTGATGAAGATTTTTTGTAATGTAACAGAGAGTCTTGCTCACACTTCTTTAAGAAATGATTGAAAATACATATTTCTTAATTCCTTCTGGAAATCAATAGCCTAAATAACTTAAAAAGAAATTAAGTAAATTTTTTTCACTTTGAACTTTGTCAATTATTTTTCAAATTGGTGAACACCCGTCGCATTTAATCAATGTAAGTACGACGAAATTCCTGGTATTCATACATGGACTCATCACAACTATAAATCATACAAACACTTTGCGGAATTTGGATTGTTTAAAAAAAAATTGGACGAGGAGCCTGGCGGCTAATCGTACGAATTGTTCGTTTGCGGATCCACTGCCATATGTTTACAGTTTTGATAATTTTTGGTCATCATTACTGTTATATCAATACCTCTTTATAGTATACAGATGTATCATTATGATATCGTTATCTGTCAGAACAGAATAATGAGGTGATAAGATAGTATGAAAAGGTGGCTCCGTATTATATCAAGATATCTTTGTAGTATACGACTTTATCGTCGTAAGATAGTAATGTGACAGCATAGTATGAAAAAGTTGCTCCATTTTATATCGAGATGCCTTTATAGTATAACATGTATCTTTATGATACAGTAATATCACATAATAGTATAGTAAAATGACAAATCAGTACAAAAAGATAGCTCCATGTTATATCAATATGTCTTCATAGTATAAAAGAATATCTTCATGACAAAGTAAAATGACAGAATAATATGAAAAGGTAACTCCATTTATATCAAAAAGTCTTTATAATATAGAAATATATCTTAATGATATAGAGAATTTACAGAGTAGTATAGTTAAATATCGTAATAGTATAGAACATTTGCTTCATGTTATATCTCAACCCTTAATGAAATGATCATCGTTATCATAAGGCAGCTGTGGCGTTCCTTATAAACCTCCCACTTGTATGACAGTTGTTTATATTTCCGTTATATTGACAACATTGGGTGAGCAACCCAAACAGATATAATAGATTAATGTGACAATAATTGAGTCCAAGCTGCCAAAACTGTTTAACATACATCATAGACGTACAACTAAACTGACTAAAAAAAACATTAAAAAAGCGCTTCGGACGCACGAAATTTATAAAATATTATTTTCATTTGTAAAGTCTTTATTATATGTTTTTGACGAAATAATCTATTTTTCCAGTTGTAAACATGTTGAACTTCCTTTCGTTTAAATCCTACTTTGCATCGGAATTCTATACCTAGTTGTTTGTAAGCAAATGAACATCGTGATATTCTGTGTATAATATATCAACTAATACTATAACATATCTATTTTGTTGAAATTTTACAGTTGAAAATCTGTTAACAAACTTCACATCCGCTGCAAACACTGAGCAATAATTGTTCGGCAAGACCTCCACAATAAATTGATTTATTTTTAAGTCACCAAAACATATGGACAAATTTAGGGTACTTTGCTAATTTGCATATCGGCCATATTTCCTTATCATGAAGACAGCCATTACAATAGGATAACACATGCCCCCTAAAATAAAAATGCAAATATGCCAATTCCTAAGTCGAATCAACAATTTTTCCGCATATAGGTGAATAGTACATGTTTTTTGCTTTCTGTTCGTGTACACATTAACAATGTCTACTCAAAAATCGTAAAAAAGCAAGATTCAAAATAGAAATTATGATACAAGAAGAGATTGTTCATGATTTGTCTGCATATAGTGAACACCTTGCAGGCTGAATGTTAAGGTAAAATAACTTCCATATTACTTGCTTTCTTAAGTTTTCGGCCAAATTCTTTGAAAAACAAGATGGTTTCATCCTTCCCATTTCGTAAGTAGTCAAACTTAGGCATTTTCCCTTAGAATTACACAACATATTTGTAAATATCCGCCAGAGGAAGTTTTCAAAGACACATTAGTTTAAGAGGCAATTCGGTAAAAGACCGGATTATCTGCAAATTTGATATAATATAAATTTTCAATCTACAACTAAGGGAAGTAATTTAGTCAAAAGGCCAATAACACGTGGTGCAAATCATATGAATAAAGTACCCAGGATTTTGCCATATGAGCCAATTATCATACAGTTCTTCACGTTGTCATTATTGGCTTTCAATCTTTGGGTATGAGCATACCAGATGAAGATCAAATCAGAAAACCGCTTCAGACGCAACTCATTCATAAAGTGTTATTTGAATTCAAACTAGTTATCAGTATGAACAATCTCGTTCCCAATTTTGTCTAGACCATAAATGTCCAATTATTACAGCATTCGTTTGGTTTTGAAAGATTGACTGATTGTTGGTTGCTTAACGTCAGTGGTAAA